GTATCACCTCATGCCAGCAGTAGTGACACTAACCCGAGCCAAATGCAAAACTAGTAAAAAAGGGTCAGAAAGGATGAGTAGGGAAAAAAATGTCAGTGGCCTCCACCTGTAAAACCATTCCTATTTTGGGGGTCATCTCATTGTTGCTCATCTAGTGCACCTCTTGTTAATTTCAAAGCAGCTAAAACTGATTAACAACCCCCTCTGCTACTTAAAGCGGAGCTCCACCAAAAAGGGGAAGTTCTGCTTTGGGGACCGGGGGGGGGGGGGGCAGGTACCCGAATTTGACAGGCACCCACTCCCACTTCCGCAGGTATCGCCTGGGCGATCAGAAGTGGAATTTGTCCTCCCCCTCGTAGTCTTCTGGGACACGTGACAGGTTCCAGAAGACTACGGGGCCATTCGCAAAGCGCAGCTCTTCTTGCGCATGCGCAGTGGGCACCCGGCTGTGAAGCCGCAAGTTGTTACAGCTGGGTGCCCACACTAAAGATGCCAGCGCCAGAGAAAGAAGACGTCCGGTGAAACCAGCTGTGGTGAGGACACCGCTGGACCGAGGGACAGGTAAGTGGCTGTATTTTTGTTTTTGTAGCTGCTGACTATTATTTTTTTTTTCAGCTGGAACTCTGCTTTAACTGACAAGATCAATATCCCAGGAGTTTAGTTGACTTGATGCTATACTCTGATTAAAAATTGTTCCTTTAATTTTTTTGAGCAGTGTAGTATTGTTGCATTTAAATTGTTAAATTGTCCGGCAAAATAAAGGAAGAAAGAATACGTTTTTGACTTGGTCTTCTACATGTGTCAGTATGCTTCCATATCAGATATCGTATATACTCTCCAGCGCCTCAGGATATGCACAGCCAAAAGGGAAGCCAAGGGTACCAGGACAGCGACAACCAAAGGAAATGTTCCAGGGGTGCAGCCCTCCTCAGACGGGGAAATCCGCCACTGGATAGAGAGAAAACAGGTGGCGCACACACCTAGTGCATTATCAAAGGTTTATTGTAGGAGTGAAAGAATAATAAAAACATACTCACAGACGAAGCATGTATCCAAAAAGCATAGAAAAATGACAATGGCCAGAATGGCAGGCAAGGTGTTCTCACTGTCAATGCGGTCAAATGGCTGATGCGTTTTGGGGACGAATCCCTTTCCTCTTAGCTGATGACCAACCTCTGATGCTGATGTATGATGAATGGAAAGTAAGAGCCTTGCTGTTGATGCATGCTTCGTCTGTGAGTATGTTTTTATTATTCATTCACTCCTACAATAAACCTTGGATAATGCACTAGGTGCGTGCGCCACCTGTTTTCTCTCTATGCTCCCATATCAGTGGCGTGATGGGTAGGCTGGTAAGCAAGTATGGCAGCAATAGCTGTAGTGCAAGTATTAGAGCTGCTATGGTGCTGGAGTTTTGTAATAATGGGGCAGTGGGAAGGCTGGGGTACAGTGCATACATAGTATTATCTATAAGAGGACATGCACAGTAGCATCAGAAAATGGAACTGTGATGTAGCCAGTGGCATTCAATACTAATGTGCTGGTTTTCAACAAAATGTCAGTAGCATCCATAACCAAAAGTGATGATAATACCAGTCACTTGCATGTCAGTTATTCAATAACACGAGTTTATAGGGGAAACTTTTTTTTTTTTTTAGTTTTAGAGTGGAAAAGGATTAGAACTTCTGTCTTTTTTTTTTATTGCTGTCTGTGCAGGGGGTGTTAAGGAAATTCATCCTCTCTATTTTTTCTGTTTACTGTTATCCCAATTAATTAATACATGCTTGCTATCTGCACTACTTTGGGATATCTATAAGCTGCTATTGCAGATGCCCAATAGCAACACCATTTTGTTGGAGACCAGCTTTAGGCTCGCACACAATGATGCCATAACCCCATGTGTGCAGTCAGCACCAGAAGACTGCAAATGCTGCGCAAGCATTGAGTGCAGTGCTGCTGCAGTGAAACGCCAACCTTGAATAAGAGCAAACATCCAGGACCCAAGGTAGTACACTTTGTTGAAGGGGAATGACTGTGTACAGCTTTACCCCTGCACTGAGCAGGCAGAGTTTTGAGAGTGGAGGATATGTTGGCAGGCAGGGACTACTATATCAGCAACCATCCCCCTTTTTTTCGCCATTCTGCAACTCCCCTCCCCTGTTCTCACCACTCTGCCAACAGAACTCCCCATTTGATGAAGGAGCATAGAAGGCACATTTGGACATCTGCATTCTCAGTCTTGGGGGAGGGGAGAGTTTTTATATGTGCTAACTGATTTAGATACAATAACAAATTGAAGCTGAACACTTTATAACCACTTACTCTGATTTTATTTCCCTTTTGATATAAAGGTTTTATATATATTAACAAAAGCTGATCATTGTAAGTACCCAGTAGTAAATGGTTTGTCATATCCCTCTAACTGCTACATCTACAGAAAAGCTTATTCTTTTGATAAAAAAAAGACTTACTGGCTGGTTCACCAGGTAAAAATAAATAAAAAGAAAACTAATGCAGCAATCACATCTAAGAACTAGTAAGCTCATTATAAGTCCTTATGCACACTGGACGTTTTCACAACTTGGCTTTTGGAGTTTTTTTCTACAGCCTGTAAACTGCCCAGCATGTTATCCTATGTGGCCATGCACACATAGACTGTAATCAGCGTTTTTTGGCTGGAAAAAAAAAACAAAACTAGTGGGTTTCTAGAGGAGTATTTTAGCTGTAAAAACGCTCTAATGTTGGAAAAACACGGCACAACGCGTCAAACTGGTGGTTTTGGAAATTTTTTTTTAGCAAAAAAAACCCACTAAAAAACACAAACACGAAAAAAAACGCAACTAAACGCTAATGCAAAAATGCTAAAAAATGCTAAAAAACTCACTGAAGTTATACAGCTAACGTTACCAGCTTTATTAAAATGCCCAGTGTGCATGGAGCCTAATAAATGTTTGCTTTTGGGTTTAGTACTACTTTAACCACCTCCTGCCCGCCATATAGTAATGTGACGGGCGCAAGGTGATTCTCTCGTTCTGGGAGGACGTCATATGATGTCCTCCCATTCTCACTGTGCATGCGCGGCTCAGGGAGCGTGCAGCTCGGCGATTGGCGGTGCGCTGTGTCCCTCGGACACAGCGGATCACGGAAAGAGCTGAAGATGTCGGCTCGGTCATGTGATCAGCTGTGTCCAATCACAGCTGATCACATGTAAACGGAAATGCCGGTTATCGGCATTTCTCTCCTCTCGAGCTGTCACGCTGACAGCTCGAGAGGAGAGGAGAGCCGGTAATCTGCTTTCCGCGGACAGGGCATGTACACTGATCGTCAGGGCACTGATGATCAGTGTGCCCTGATGATCAGTGTAGCCCCAGCAGTGCCTTGTGTCAGTGCTGATCAGTGCCTCGTGTCAGTGCCACATATCAGTGCCTACCAGTGCACATCAATGCCACATATCGGTGCCCATCTGAGCTGCCTTTCAGTGTCACCCATCAGTGCCACCTATCAGTGCTGCCAATCAATGCCACCTGTCAGTGCCGTCTATTAGTGCCAGTCAGTGCCACCTATCAGTGCCATGTATCATTGCTGCCTTTCAGTGCCCATCAGTGATGCCTGTCAATGCCCATCAGTGCCACCTACCAGTGCCTCCTCATCAGTGCCCATCACTGCCACCTATCAGTGTCCATCAGTGCAGCCTATACGTGCCCATCAGTGCAGCCTCATTAGCACACATCAGTGAAGGAGAAAAATCACTTATTTACAAAATTTTATAACAAAAACTAAGAAAAAACATTTTTTTTCAAAATTTTCAGTGGTTTTTGATTTGTTTAAGAAAAAATAAAAAAACCCAGAGGTGATTAAATACCACCAAAATAAAGCTCTATCTGTCACAAAAAAATGATAAAAATTTCATATGGGTACAGAGTTGCATGACCGCGCAAGTTTCATTCAAAGTGTGACAGCGCTGAAAGCTGGAAATTGGCCTGGGCAGGAAGGGGGTATAAGTGCCCTGTAGGCTAGTGGTTAAAAGCAAATACAATATTGATCTACTTTTGAGTGACATTCGAAATATTCAGAGAATTTTCATACAAATTTTTGGTGGAAATTCTACTGGTGTTTGTGCCCAATTTAAAATGATTATAAAGTCTCATTTTTCCTTTAAAATAAAAAATATGGTAAACACACCTGCTCTGTGCAATCGTATTGAACAGAGCGGTTCTTTACTTAATCTTCTGGAGTCCTCCGCTGGTGCTCTCTGCTCCTTCTTCCTGTTGGTGCCCCCATAACAAGCCATGCAAATCAAAGACACACAGTGCTGCTTGGCCCCACCCATACACCCCCAGTTTACCAATACAAAACACCCAGATGTCAATAGATCCTCAGAGTCTCCTGTGAAAGCAGGAAGTGAGAGGAGCGCTGGGGACAGCGCTGGATCAGTGGAGGAGTCAGGTAAGTGTCTGGGGTGGCAGAAAAAGTATTAAGTACGTTTATCTGTTTAGTAGGGAGGCAGAATTTACTACCAGACATAAAAATTCTCCTGGATAAGCTTTTTAATGAATAAGTTGTATAATCACATTCAGTAGGTTTTGGTCCCCCTGATAGGACTGCAGCTTCCTGTTACATTACTCTATGACATGCAGTATCTCTCAGAGAACCACAGAGGAAACCCAGGCTGCATATTTGCAGCTCATATTAAAAACTAATTTAGAAGATCAGGCTTTTTGCAATTAATCTTTTACTTTCTAGTGCACCTAATGGATTAAGCAGCAGGATGTGTATCAGTAAGCACAATGTCTAAAAAGAATTTTGTTCTTGTTTTTCTAACATATAGTATTAAGATGGCCGCAGTAAGCCCCAGACTGATCATTCAAGTGTTCTCCTGCTGTTTAATGGTGCGGATTGGCCTTGGAATAGAATATTATGTGGCTGCTGTGTATGAACACCATTCTGTACTGAATGCCAACTCTACAGCCCTGACTGACCGACAATCTGCTCTGGAATTTATGTCCAGAAATTTAGATATTTATGAACAACAGGTTAATATTGCTGCAAAAAAGGTAAGTCATTTAATTATTCCAAAACCATTTTATATAGATGCTAACTGATTAGGGTTCTTTTTCTGGGAAGGAAGGGATACTGAATCAGTTTACACAATATGTATAGATATAATAATGATCAACAATAAATAACTAAAAATATGAAAGTTATGGCAAAAACTATTTTACAACCTTAAAACCTAAAACATTATGCTATGAAAAAGATTTTAAACATTTTATTAGAAAGATCCATTAGTTAATTTTCTCAGCTGACACAGAAATGATGAATATCAATGAGTAGACATGGCTTTGCATTATTTCATTGGGGGTTATGGGAGTATTGCCAGCATGCACTGAATAGAAAGCACACAAGTCTGACTATTTACAGATGTTCAGATCTGTTTCTTACTGAATAGCATAGGAATAGGGATGCAAATTCTGTTGCAAGGAATTCTGACCTCCTTCTTTGTATAGTGGGCTAGAGAGAAACAAATGGCATCAACGTAAGGTAAGTAGCTTTAGCTTAGATTCTCTTCAGCATTGAATTTGCATTGTTCTCATCATGTGGTACAATGGATGGGTGGGATATTCTAGTGAATTTATTATTGAGCTACTCTTGGGCTGGCCATACAGGAACAGATCTGAACATCTGTAAATAGTCAGACTTGCGTGCTTTCTATTCAGTGCATGCTGGCAATACTCCCATAACCCCCAATGACATAATGCAAAGCCATGTCTACTCATTGATATTCATCATTTCTGTGTCAGCTGAGAAAATTAACTAATGGATCTTTCTAATAAAATGTTTAAAGTCTTTTTCATAGCATAAAGTTTTAGGTTTTCCTGTTTATTTGTGCCATTGCCAACCCCTATATGACCAACTGTAAAACAGTAGATCACAATCAGATGGCAAGAATTAAAGCAACCAACCAAAAAATATTTTGCTCATGTAACAGACCCCTAAACATGTGCATTGTGTTTTACAAGTATGCAAATCTGTTTGCAAGGGGGCCATAAGACAATGGATAAAAAATCTTGGACTGTAGCTCATTTGCTGAGGGTGGTTGTGCTTAGTATTCTCAGACATACAAACATACACAATGTGGTCTGTCATCACCAGTTTCAGCGGTATTGAAAGATGGATATTTTATGCCAATACCAGGGGTCTCCAAACGTTTCATTCAAAGGGCCAGGTTTACTGTGCATCAGACTTTATGGGTCCAGATTGTGGTCAGTGGGGGAAGAAAATGTCCCGGGAGCAGGATCTGTGAGAATAAACATGGCCTTAGGGTTGGTGGTCAGTAAAAGGAAGAGTATTGCCCCATCATTGGTATTAGTGGAAGGAATAGTAACCTATTATTGGTATCAGTGGAAGAAATAGTGCACCTTTGTTGGTATCAGTGGGAGGAATAGTGCCTTGTATCATTCAGAGAACTAGTGCACCAAGAACCAGTTAAAGACTGGTAAAGGGCCATTAAAGTGGTTCTGAAGGCTTGTTTTTGTTTTTTTTTTTTAAATAAATACATCATACTTACCTGCTCTGTGCAATGGTTTTGCATAAAGCAACCTGGATCCTCTTCTTTTTGGTTCCCCACCGGAGCTCCTGGCCCCTCCCCACTGCTGAGTGACCCCAGAGCAAGTGGCTTGCTCTGGGTACACTCATGTGTACTCATTTCCATGCTGCGTCTGTGTGTCTATGGGACACACAGATCGTGGCTCAGTCTCACCCCCCCCCCCCCACTCCCTCCTCACTGGTTGTGATTGACAGCAGCAGAGCCAAAGTCTTACACTGTGTCTCAGCCAATAAGGAGAGAGATACCCAGGAGAGCCACTGCTCATGTGTACATCGCTAGATCGAGGTTGGGCTCAGGTAAGTATTAGGGGGAGCTGCACACTGAAGGTAAAAAAATCTTCAGCCTTTCGAACCACTTTAAGTCTAACACTGGGTCACAGGAGTCCAATAGTAAATATACTCCTGGGACCACATGAGAAGTACTGTATGTCCAAAAAAGCTTTGGCCATACTGCCCTTTTAAGTTGTTAAGGATGCAAGCTTTTGGGATAGCTTAGATTCCTTCTTCTGGTTTTATTGACCTGAAACCCAAAGCTATTCATGTTTCCTTTTTTGCAATTCCAGGGTGTTCAGATCATTGTCTTTCCTGAAGATGGCATCCATGGATTTAACTACAGCAGGATGTCCATTTACCCGTACCTGGATTTCCTCCCTCCTTCCCATTTACTACCATGGAATCCATGTGTGGAGCCAGACAGGTTCCAGGATACTGAGGTGATTAGAGCGCATTCATCCTCTTCTGTGAGGAAACAGAAGAAAATATCTGCTTTACAACAGGGAGAACTTAAGTGCACAAACAGAGCTCCACTTGTAAATCTACCACTGACAATGAAGTTGGTTTATAAATACTGTATGTGTGTATTAGTGTCTATATCTGCCAATCACATCATGGTTGTCATTTTTTTGTATTCCTTGTTAGAAAGATTTTTTTTGTCTGAAGCATCTCTGCATTCCCATTCCTCCACTCTTTATGAAAAGTTGAATAGGTCAGATTCTTGGTATACACTTTTTATAGATTCTAAATCAACGAATGAGCAACACACTCCTTTCAGTACTGGACCTTGGTAATAAATGAGTGCTCGTAGTGACTGTGGTGGATGGCGCTGCATAAATCACAGTACAAGGAACATTACCAGCACTCCATTGCAAACATGAACACTCATTTTAAATGCAATTTAACATCAAATGGGTCAATAGGCAACTCTTCATAGATTCTGAGATTCTTGAGCACTAATGAGATGGAAAATTGTTATGGTCAAACTTCTTCATTCAGTCATTAGAAGAGATTTATTTGATTTGACATTCTGTTGTTAAATTTTTTTAGGACAATCTAACATTTGTGCCTTGACCAGAATACACATGGCTGGTTGCTTGTGACATACAGTAGGCTGATTTGTCTTGGCCGGCCTCACAAATTTGAAATTGTTGACTGCAGGTTCTGACCACCTTTGGAAAATCCTAGTTGCATGGCTATCTACAGTTCCGGCATTCAACTAATCTGGAAAATGCATGCAACAGGGGAAGACAGGGAGAAGTTGGAACTTCTGATCTGCATAAGGGCCCTTTATGATCAGGTCTGACTGTCAGTTTTTCAAGGAGATCTTATCAGAAGCAGCTCTATGGACAGGTGGATGTAAATGGACTTGTGTCCTTTGACACTCGCCTATGTCCGAGTCTGTCCAGGTCCTGAAAAAAAATTGGAAAGGGAAAGTTTACATCCAGCCGCCCATAGAGAATTGTCACAAGTCTTCCCATGTCCAATGGGCACAGATGTAAAAAAAAACTGACATCCGTCCTGTTTAGCTTTGATTCAGCAAAGGATCTACTCATGGAGTAGGAGACTAAGTGTTTCAGGTCAGACTTAGAAACTGCTAAAGCCATTGCATCAGCATGAGAGCCAGTCAAAGAGGATTTTTAGACGGTCCAGTTAGATATGTCAAATTCTAAATATTTCTCTCAGGTTGGAATAAAGAAAAAGTAGAAATGTTGGCCATAACAGGTAATTCTAAGTTGGATATTCTTAACTTAACATTAACAGCTGGAACTGACTGTATGCTCTGGATGTCTACCTCGCTGTCTTTTTTTAACATTTTTTTATTAGAAGTAGACTGTAGTGATGACTTCTGTGGTAGTCATCGATTTAATGCCTAAAGTTTGATGTTTAAATTATACCCTTTATTGATTTACTTAACATAATAAAAATGCATTTGATGCCTTCTGGATACCTCAGATACCTTCTTCAGGCTTTACGTTCTCCTGAAAGTGTGCATCTTTATTACCTTTTTATTGGCCATCTAAAGTGGAACTAAATTGAAAAAAATTCTCACTTCCTCATTACAACGCAATGCATGGTAAATCCCTCGCTGGCCTCTTGATCGACCTGTGGCAGAATGAAGTCATCCCACACATGCACATGGGATTCCGGCACAGCCAGAGTGTGCCGAGAATGTACACTGAGCTGCACTTGCACAGCTCAGTGGGCATTCAATAGAGAACTGCAAGCAGGCAGGTGTTTGTTATCGCAGAAGAGACATTAGGGGGAATTCTGTAAAGTTGCTGTGCCACTTTTCTGGCATTCAACATCTGCCTCCTCTCCCCCTGATTCCCTCCTCCCCGTGACATTGGGCCAGGGATCTTCTCCTCACACCTGCTGTCACAATTCAAAAAGAGTTCTGTGAATTAATTAATTACAAGTATCATCATCCTTTGCGGCTGACTGCTTGTAGTTCTCAGTGAGAACTACCAGGGTGCTGATAAGTTTTCTGGTAGTTTGATTGAACTTTCTGTCATTACGTAACTGCCTCCCTGTATTTTTAATTAAAAAAACAAATTGCACATTTTTTGCAGGTAAAGGTGAACATATACAGTGGATAAACAAAGTCTACACACCGCTGTTAAAATGTCAGGTTTCTGTGATGTAAAAAAATGAGACAAAGATAAATAATTTCAGAACTTTTTCCACCTTTTTAATTTGATCTATAAACTGTGCAACTCAATTGAAAAACAAACCAAAATCTTTTAGAAGGGGAGAGTAAACATAAAAAACTAAAATAATGTGGTTGCATAAGTGTGCACACCCTCTTATAACTGGGGATGTAGCTGTGTTCAGAATTAAGCAGTCACATTCAAAATCATGTCAAATAGGAGTCAGTGCACACCTGCCATCATTTAAAGTGCCTCTGACTAACCCCAAATAAAGTTCAGCTGTTCTAGTAGGTTTTTCCTGACATTTTCTTAGTCACATCCTACAGCAAAAGCCATGGTCTGCAGAGAGCTTCCAAAGCATCAGAGGGATCTCATTGTTAAAAGGTATCAATCAGGAGAAGGGTACAAAAGAATTTCCAAGGCATTAGATATACCATTGAACACAGCGAAGACAGTCATCATCAAGTTGAGAAAATATGGCGCAACAGTGACATTACCAAGAACTGGATGTCCCTCCAGAATTGATGAAAAGATGAGAAGAAAACTGGTCTGGGAGGCTGCCAAGAGGCCTACATCAACTTTAAAGGAGCTGCAGGACTATCTGGCAAAGTCCTGGCTGTGTGGTACATGTGAGAACAAACCCCCTTATTCTTCATATGTCTGGCTTATGGTGTAGAGTGACAAGACGGAGCCTTTTCTTACGAAGAAAAACATCCAAGCCCAGCTATATTTTGCAAAAACACAGCTGAAGTCTCCCAAAAGCATGTGGGAAAATGTATTCTGGTCTGATGAAACCAAAGTTTAACTTTTTGGCCATAATTCCAAAAGATATGTTTGACTCAAATACATCAGTGCACATCACTAAAAGAACACCATACCCACAGTGAAGCATGGTGGTGGCCACATCATGCTTTGGGGCTGTTTTTCTTCAGCTGGAACTGGGGCCTTAGTCAAGGTTGAGGGAATTATGAACAGTTCCAAATACCAGTCAATATTGGCACAAAACCTTCAGGCTTGTGCTAGAAAGTTGAACATAAAGAGGAACTTCATCTTTCAGCATGACAACAACCCAAAGCATATGTCCAAATAAACAAAGGAATGGCTTCACCGGAAGAAGATTAACGTTTTGGTATGGCCCAGACTTATATCCCATCGAAAATGTGTGGGGTGATCTGTAAGGGCTGTGCACAGGAGATGCCCTCGCAATCTCACAGATTTGGAGTGTTTTTGCAAGGAAGAGTGGGCAAATATTGCCAAATCAAGATGTGCCATGCTGATAGACTCATACCCTAAAAAGACTGAGTGTGGTAATAAAATCAAAAGGTGCTTCAACAAAGTATGTTTAAGGATGTGCACACTTATGCAACCATATTATTTTAGTTTTTTAGTTTTTCTTCCCTCCACCTAAAAGATTTCAGTTTGTTCAACTGAGTTGTACAGTTTATATGTTACATTAAAGGTGGAAAAAGTTCTGAAATGATTTATCTTTGTCTCTTTTTTTTTTACATCACAGAAACCTAACATTTTAACAGGGGTGTGTAGACTTTTTATATCCACTGTACTTTAAACTCTAAACTTTCAGCTCTAAGTTATGTAAATGAGCCACAGTTAGCTTTCTTATTGCTCTTTTCCTGGCTCCCATGCTTGTTAGCCATGGCTTTACATAATGGCAGAATTGTTTTTCTGCTGTGAGGTTCAGGTCAAGTCGATCCCCTGTCAGAAAATTAGATGCATGGTTAAAAGGTATCTGAATCTGCTTTATTTTTTTGTATAAAATGAATATCAGTTGATATCAGTGAAAGCTGAGTAAACTGTATGGTAGAGGGAACACAGAAAATAAATACTGTTTGAATAAGATATTGTACAGACATTTTAATATAACTTGTGAAATGAATTAATAAGCTACTAATGATGAGAGACATCATCACTTTGCTAAACTCATAAATATGTGTTCTTTTAAAATCATTTTCATTTAGCCGAGAGACGAGCAGTCCTAGAATGTGTCATAAAAAAATGAAATTAGAACCATAGGAAGCCGCTTCATATTACCAAGTATTTGGAACAGTATAAAAGGCTGAGATTGTACAGGCTGTAAACACACTTCAGAGGCTTTGATTCAGTGACAACATGTTTGCTGATATCATTATTAACATCAAAAGGAGTAAGTACTTTACAAGCTCATTGAATTTAGTTGGATTCTGAGGCTGTGCTGCTGGTTTTGTTTAAGTAAGTGCAGATAAAAGAGATACAGACAAGCTCTTATATTCAGTGAATGAATCTTTGGTGCTTTTTCCTGATTGGCAAAATAATTTAATGTCTTTTTCTCATTTGACCATTGGAGACTCTAATCTATAGATATGGTATCTTTTTGTGATTATGCGTATTGATTTGGGCCAGTGCATGGAAAATGGGTGCATATTGCTAACACAGGTCGACTCGTCCCTTGACTTGGTATATATTGATGTATTATTTCTTGTGAAGTATAGACAAGCATTGATTGTAGTTTATCTACACAGCATCCAGCAGTATGTTTTTACTGCTGGATGCTGTGTCTATAGCATGTAGCTTTGCTGGCCCTGATCATTTGATGCACCAACCTTGACAAGCTATCTAAGCACCCAATCGAATGGAAATAACTGAAATCCAGTGACTGATAGAGATGGGGCAAAGACAGTCAGCATGAGGAGGAAAGCATTAGATGATTCTGGACTTCCTCCAGTCTAGAAATCAGGCATTATCTGACTTACTGCATCTTCTAATGCACACTGTGAGAAGCCTACTGTGTGCAGTGAAATTGTAAGACCGTTTCAGTACAGGAGAGGAGCCTGTACAACTGTATAAAACTGAAAGTAAGGCAGGAGTTCAGCTTTAAAGTGGCTCTAAAGCTGAAGGATTTTATTTTTTTTTACCTATATGCATTCTATGCACGAAGGTAAAAAAACCTTCTTTATTCAGCAGTCCCCCCTCAGCCCTCACCTGTACCAGACCTCCATCCAGCGATGTGCACTAGGTGCCTCGCCTCTCCCGGGTCTCTCCCTCCTCATTGGATGAGACACAGCAGTGGGAGCCTTTGGTATCACTTTAAGTTTCTCCTAGACATTAGATCATAGTCTCCAGGTGTGTGACAATTTTCGGCTGTATCATTTGATGTGTTTTATAAGTTGAAGTTTATAAAAGTCCAGGCAACAAAACAATAGAGCAGGTGAGAAAAACCTTGTGTCTGAGCACACGTGTTTTCCTTGGAACCCGCTTTTTTTTTCTGTTGCCCTGAACAGGCGCACTTGCACCTGAAAAACATCTTGAGATGGTTAGATTTTATATGGAAAGGGTGTGTACAATCCAAACGCACATGTTCCTGCGTTTACAAATGGCTGTGTGTATAAGTGGGTGCTGCAGCGACCGTGGCTGGAACCGAACAGAATCAGCAAGGGAGAATGTTACCAGTACACCGAGGATTACCTCGGTGATCCTCGGTGTGCTGGTGACATTCTCCCTTGCTGGTTAGATTTTACATTCACATCCATCCATCTTTAGCACCGGTATTATTACACAGACCACTCATTTTTGTCCGTAAGAATCTAACTAGGTGCTAGACTGTACATTCTGACAACCCTTTAGCCAGCGATGTCTTCTGCAATCTGAAGTCCATCTATATGTATATTATTTACAAATAGGTTGATTTCTTAAAGCTTCATAAGATTTTATTTCAGTGAGAGAAACCTTTGTAGTTTAGTTTATCTAGATTTTAGTTAAATATTAGCCAGATTATTGTATAGCACAGTCATCAATGAAAGTCCAATTACTTGTTTTTGTGTACTTTGTCATCTCTCATCCAGGTTCTCCAGCGGCTCAGTTGCATGGCACAGGGAGGAAGAATGTTTGTGGTGGCAAACCTAGGAACTAAAGTTCCGTGTGGGAATGTGGACCTTAAGTGCCCACACTTCTTCTTCTTCTTCTTCTTCAGACGGGAGGTACCAGTTTAACACGGATGTTGTGTTTAGTGACAATGGCACACTGATAGCCAGCTATTTTAAACAAAACTTATATTTTGAGTATAGTTTTGACACACCTCCACAAGTCCAACATGTCATATTTCATACCTCCTTTGCCAGGTTTGGCCTTTTTACTTGCTTTGATATCTTATTTTATGAGCCAATTGTGACTCTTATTGAAAAACATCAAGTGAAACACCTTGTGTACCCAACAGCTTGGATGAACCAATTGCCACTTCTGTCTTCCATTCAGATTCAAAGAGCCTTTGCCACTGGGTTCAACATTAATATTCTAGCTGCTAACATCCACCATACAACTTTGGGTATGACTGGAAGTGGAATATTCAGTCCAGTGGGCTCTTCATACCACTATGACATGGACAGTGAAAATGGTCAGCTGATCATTGCCAAGGTTCCAGTTGTTCCGTCAGAAGAGCTATACACAGGAGAAGATCAGGTGTCATTTATGAAGAGAGTGAGACATTTGAAAATAATGTCATACATGGTAGTTCTCAGACATGTCATGTAGAGGACAGAAAAGGACATTGTGGAGAATCAGCTTGGGAAGATGCTTCATTTCATTCAGAGATGATGTATGACAGCTTCACTTTTGTCCCCCTGAATACAAGTGAAGGAACAGTACAAGTGTGTTCTGAGGGGCTCTGCTGCTATGTGACTTATCATAAAGAGAACACCTCTGAAGAACTGTATGCTCTGGGGGTATTTGATGGTCTGCACACTGTTCATGGTCAATACTCCCTTCAGATTTGTGCCTTGGTGAAATGTGGGGGTCCAAATATCATAATGTGTGGGCAGGAAGTAATTGATGCAAGTAGTATCTTCACCTTTCAGCTTTGGGGCAGTTTTAGCACCAAGTATGTATTTCCTATGATTGTTACATCAGGAGTCAACCTACAATTACCTGACCACTGGGGCTGGAAGGATAATATCTGTTACATGAGCAAAGGGGCAATGGATATGGGATTAGTGACAGCAGCATTGTATGGGAGATACTATGAAAGGGACTAGTCTCTAAATGTGTCATTAGAGTGTTGCTACAGAGTTATTTAAAACCAGCAAATGATCTAAAAATGTTATTTGAAAGCCATGCTTTTGATACTTGTACTAATTTTTATTAAAAAATGTAAGTACAATTCTAGCTAAATCTTTTGTTTCTACAAGTCAAAGCTTGACAAACCGCAAGCCTTGAGGTGGGTTCTGGCTTCCCTGAATGTGTATACTGTATGACCATGAAACATTCTGCATAGCATGAAACAACTGTAAAATTCAGCAGCACCAGTTATAGATGTCACAACTATGCAAAGAAATGCAGCTGCTGGGATATACCCACTGGAAGTGGACTGCTTCAAGTATGTGCATTTTTTTTCTTTGAAAAGAGGAGCATGGTGAGGCTGTAGTGTTGAAGGGCAACTAAATTTGTTGATTCAACTGTTTTCCAGTTACGTTCAAGGCATTCCCTTGCAACTATCACAGTTTCTGGTGCTCTCAACCAAACTGTCAAGCCATCAAATGGCTGGCGTCATGACTGATCACGTGTACAGCACCATGGCGACTGCAGATCAAACAGACTAAGATGGCAGCTTCCTTGCTGTAAAGGTTAGGAGGGTTTAGTTCTGCTTTAACCTCACTCATCTCCCTGCCACCAAGTTGGCAAGTGAGTCTTGCTTTAGGTCTTCTCAAGCCTCCTGTGCCTGTATTGTCTTGGGTCCATCTCATCTACAAGTACAGCAGATAGAGGAGGACTGGAAATAGATCTGCACTACACAGACCTATGGCTAGAGCATCATTGTGAATATTGTTTAAGAGTAAGCCAGGGTGCTCAACCTTTAGAGGAGTGAGGGCCATTTAAGGGATTAGGTAAGTGGTCGTGGGCCACAATGAAATGGTTCAGAATTTCAGATTTTTTATTTTGAATAGCATCGTAAACATTTTCTCTTGCAGCCGCTGAATGCCAGCAGCAGGGAAGAGATGCCAGCTTTCTGTGGTTGCAGTGATGGAGAGTATCGGTTGTAAAAGCTGCTCCCACCGCCCCTCCTGTCCCCAGTGTAAAACAGAATGTGACAGGGAGGGTGTGCGGGCCCCTTGGAGCATGGGGCAGGGTCGCCAATGCACTTTGTTGCACTTTCTGATAATGTACCACACCCGCAAGATATAACAGAAATCTATGGCAAAGCGCAGCTTAACCCGCAGCAAAATCCACAGGTGCACTGCGCTGCACTCATGGAATCCGTGAGAAAGCAGCCTAATAGTTGTTATCCCTTTTTATAGGAGCTAATATGCTCATTGCAAAAGTGCAGTGTAGGTGTTTAATGCACTGGCCTTCTTTTCCTTTTCCAGTTTTTCTACAGGCATCGCTGTTTGGCTCCAGGCTGCTAAAAAGGTCCCAGGAGAAGTGCACTTGGTATCACTCCGCCTGGGACAAGAGCCACTGCTACATAGGAAGCATCTGCTTATGTGGCTACTGCTCCCTCCACAGACTCCTGTTTCCTCCGCTGCCGGCGCTGGCTTGATGCACTCTGATGCTCTGAAATGAGGGGTTGGCAAGCCCAGATCGGGGTCAACGGGTTGCCGACCCTGGTCATGCGCTTCCCTGGTTTGAGGTTGAGGGCCACATCAAAGGGCTCCAAGTGCCACAGGTTTAGCACCTCTGGGTTAGGCAATGATCATCCAAGAGAATTTTGTCTAAGGTATCACTCTGACTGCCATCCTCCAAGTTGCCATCTATTCTTGAGGTTAAAATGTTCATACAGGTTGGTAAAGCTGTGATATCAAGTAAGACTTCATACCAGCAAGTGTTTGAAGGGTTGTCAGTACCAGAAAGTATGTGAGTTTTTTTTGTTGCATGGTAAATTAGATGTCTGGTTACAGAGGGTAAATCATCTCCACCCATTCTGCTTTATTTGTTGGGCTCTAATGTAGAATATGGTTCATCTATTTTCATGCACCAGCCTTCTCTTGGTAAAATTATATATAATGGTTTTGGGTTTATAATATAGTTTATTTAATAAATGAGAAATACAGTATTTCCAGTATTTAGAAGAAAATTATTTTGTCATATAAATTGTTTTTGTTTTTCAACAGGGAAGGGTTAGAACCCATTTTTTTTGTTTGTGTCCTATTGTGGAGAATTCCCTTCACTTTCTGTCCCAAGCATGCAACAAGAAGTTAGAAGAAACCACTACAAAGTGAGGGTTAATCCACAATCTGATCTGGCTGGAGGTGCTGTACAGAGATGAAATGTAAAATAGTGCATAGCCATGGTAGGAGATATAACTGAGTACATAATTAAAAAAAAAGAAGATATATATATATATATATATATGTATATGAGTGTGTATGTATACATAATCTCTTTTGCAGCATTATAACACAATCTGAGGGTGTGATGATATGCACACATATCATAAGCTTTTAGTGCAGTGATTTCTGACTATCCTTTTGGCCACTGGAAAATTAAAGGGTAATCCCAGGCATTACCCAAATATCCCTCACTTCCTTTAGAGAACATTTCCTAGCATTAGTTATTTTATTTCACAAGAAACCAATTACTCCATGTGTCATCCATTGAAGGCTTGTAATATTCTGTAATATTCCTGCAGGGACAGCTGTTGGGAGCTCATTTCCTATTGATATAGGCATGCCTCAAGAGCTACATTTCCCAAGTGCCCTTTTCTCTTTATACAGTTTGTGGACAGGGTCATGCTAGAAAGAAATCAATGCATACATGTGGAGAAAGACCAAGAAGGATGGGGGAGAAGTGGAGTTCCTGTAGTCCAGCAGGCATGGCTGACATTGCTGATTGGAGTTTCACAACTGCAAAGGCCACTGTGCTGTCAGCTAAAATAGTACGTTAGAAGCACCCTGAATTTCTGGATGGATAATTCTTCTATACTTGCAAAGTTTTTAATTAAAGGAATACAAAAATAGTGAAAAGCTTATGAATTGCAGGGATGTAATAAATATGTTATTATTTTTATTTTTTGCCCACACATATACTTTAATGACTTAGGGCAGAGTGGCCTTTAAAGTACGATTGCTTGCCTGATGTTTTGAGTGGCTTGAAATGCTTTCTCCTCTTAGCCCTCCACTTTACCAAGTCCTGATTAGTCATCTTACATATGAGTATACAATTATGAGGGATAAAAATAACACTGAAAATTACAGTTTCACAGCTTTCTAAAGGGGTGATAGAGTGCAGTGTTCCAAGCAGAGCTAAGAGCACATCAAGTATGTAGTTATTTATTTTTATGTTTGCTGCTGAAGACAATCCATCCTGTAAGTACCATAATGCTTTTTTCTTATACCTGGTAATAGTCTGTGTGGGAGGAACCACTCAAGATGCCTCAAGAATACACAACTGAACTTTTTTTTTTTTTATTTTCATTTTTTTTCTTGTATGTGCTCATAACACCTCATTCGTGATAATGTTCAGTCCAATAGCTGTACATGAAAGAACAAATAAATATATTCAGTTTGGCACTAGGGTTTATTTTTAAAGCCATATAAATGTTTTATAAACTTTAGGAGGATGAGCCAGCTTTTCATAGTCTAACTTTCTACAGCCACTACCCCTAACTAATAAAATCTGGAGAAAAACCATTGCAGTAAGTCCTCCTGCATTGCGAGAGTTAAATGCTTGTTTTGCCTAGGGGTGAGGTGAAATGTGTACAGCAGGGGTAGAGATCAAAGATCACCAGGGTTCCGCAGTTTTTTTTTTTCAAATTTATTTTTGATAACTATCAAGCCCCCAAAGGTTAGTAGTGGATAGGGCAGCACACAGAGATCATTAGGATGTATTGCACTGTACAGGGGCCAGTAGTATATAGAGCAGTGTACAGGGGTCAGTAGGATGTAGAGCAGTGTACAGGGGTCAGTAGGATGCAGAACAGTGTACAGGGGTCAGTAGGATGCAGAGCAGTGCACAGGGGTCAGCAGGATGTAGAACAGTGCACAGGGGTCAGCAGGATGTAGAGCAGTGTACAGGGGTCAGTAGGATGTAGAGCAGTGCACAGGGGTCAGTAGGATGTAGAGCAGTGCACAGGGGTCAGTAGGATGTAGAGCAGTGCACAGGGGTCAGTAGGATGTAGAGCAGTGCACAGGGGTCAGTAGGATATAAGGCAGTGTACAGGGGTCAGCAGGATGTAGGGCAGTGTACAGGGGTCCGTAGGATGTAGGGCAGTGTACAGGGGTCAGTAGTATGTAGAGCAGTGCACAGGGGTCAGTAGGATATAAGGCAGTGTACAGGGGTCAGCGGGATGTATGACAGTGTACAGGGGTCACCGGGATGTAGGGCAGTGTACAGGGGTCAGCGGGATGTAGGGCAGTGCACAGGGGTCAGCGGGATGTAGGGCAGTGCACAGGGGTCAGCGGGATGTAGGGCAGTGCACAGAGGTCAGAGGGATGTAGGGCAGTGCACAGGGGTCAGTGGGATGTAAGGCAGTGCACAGGGGACAGTGGAATGTAGAGCAGTGTACAGGGGTCAGCAGGATGTAAGATAGTGTACAGGGG